ATAGTTTTTGGAGTCCCAGAGAGCCAGGCAGAGGGAACTGTGAGTAAGGAAACACACGACAAGGTGCTGTTTCAAAATATTTGCACAGAGGTTCTGAAGATTCCAGCAACCCCTCAGGATGTGAGGAGACTGGGACAAAAGCAGGGGGCTAAGCCTCGCCCCCTCAGGATCACACTAGGGAGTGAGGAGGAGAAATGGCAAGTTATTCGGCAGGCAAAAAACTTAGCAAGGAGCGAGGCATTTCGGGATGTATTTATTCACCCAGACCGCACGGTAATGCAGAGAGAACAGCACAAGAAGCTCCTGCAGGACTTGAAGCAGAAGAGGGAGGAGTCGAGGAGGAACGGGGACAGGTGCACATGGGTTATACTCAGGGGGAGGGTAGTGGAAACAAGTGTGCCGACACAGGGCCAGGGGGCAGCAGTGCACCCTCCACCCACTCAACCCCCCACCCGGGAGGCGGCACCAGCTCAGCCTACCGGACAGGAGGGAACGAGCGCCGTGTAAACAATGACATTTTTAACCACACCCTGCAAAATACAGTGTACTTAGCAAATGCTGCAGCTTCTGAGAATGTGGGTGGAGCGGGTTTATTACTAAGAGCAGAGACGTTACCGAGAACAAATTCTGGCTTGAATGTCATGTACACTAATACTGACACGTTCCTTGATAAGAGGGAGGAGTTTGAAACACTACTAAGAGTACACCAACCAGATATTGTAGGAGTTGTAGAACTGTAGAACAGGAGAATTGACCCAGAGGAATGTGAGTTCAGTATTGCTGGATATGACTCATTTACGAACCTAACTCAAGAATCCTGCAGGAGGGGTGTGGTTATCTACGCTAGGCAAGACCTTAGAGCCAGCCAGGCGAGGGTACAGGGAGAGGATGTTTTTGAAGAGTCCAAGTGGTGTAAAATTAAATTAAAGGGAGGGGACTTACTTATCGTCGGGTGTATCTACAGATCCCCAAACTGTGGCCCACTAAATCAAAGGAACTTAAGAACCTTAATAAACAATGCGGCGATGCTCAACCCCAGCCACCTCCTTATCATGGGGGACTTTAACTATGGCGACATCGACTGGAGAAACGAGTCCACCCCGAATGACTTGAATAATCCTGCTACTCTTTTTGTAGAAACTCTGAGAGATAATTTTCTGTTCCAACATGTGAGAGACCCGACACATTACAGAGGGGAGCAAACACCCAAGCCACTTGACCTCATCATAACAAACGAGGAGGGTATGGTGGCCAAACTGGAACACCTTGCCCCAGTTGGCACCAGTCACCATACAGTGTTGTCATTCAGATTTAACTGTTACCTAGTTCAAGATAAGGCCAGGCCAAGGTGCAAATATTACAAGGGAAATTACAATGGGATGAGGGAAGAGATGAGGGGTATCAACTGGCCTGACTTATTAAGGTACAAGAACGCAGACACTACGCTGAATATCATAACTAGTAAAATGACCCATTTGATCGATAAATATATACCCAAGACCAAACCCAGTGCTTCTAGGAATACGAGGGGATCCCTACACATGAACCATGCGGCGGTCGACAAAATTAAGAAGAAAACCCAGAAATTTAAGACGTGGGTTGGGTCAAACGATGAGCAAGACAGGAGGATGTATGCAAGAGCCAGAAACCAAGCAAAGATAGAGTGTAGGAGGGCTGAAAAGGAGTTCCAAAGGCTGGTTGCACGCGAGGTCAAGTCAAACCCAAAGGCGTTTTACCGCTATGCAAAGTCGAAATTGAAAACGCGAGTAGGAGAATCAGACCTGAGGCTTGAAGATGGTAGTTACGCAGATTCTGACCAGGATAAAGCTGAGGCATTGAACAGCTTCTTTTCCTCAGTGTTCACAAGAGAGGCTGCAACTAACCTTCCTGCGTTTGAGGACAGACGATTCGACACAGCACTGACCCACATTCTGTTCACAGAAGAGGGTATTAGAAATAAACTGTCCAGGCTAAAGGTCCATAAGAGTCCTGGACCTGACATGGTGCATCCTAGAGTGCTAAGGGAGCTGTGCAACGAGCTTGCAGAGCCCCTGAAGATTCTGTTTTGTAAATGCCTGGATGAACAAATGGTCCCCAGTGAATGGAAAGTGGCTTATGTGAGTCCTATCTTCAAGAAGGGCGATAGTCACTCCACGAACAACTATAGACCGGTGAGCATGACCAGCATAATATGTAAAGTACTTGAGAGTATTATCAGAGATGCAGCGATGGAACATCTACTACGAAACAACCTTGTAAAAGATTGCCAACACGGTTTTATGCCGGGGCGCTCTTGCTTGACACAATTGCTCAAGGTATTGGATATTTGGACCCATATTCTAGAACGGGGTGGTAATATCGACAATATTTACCTAGATTTTGCCAAGGCTTTCGACAGTGTACCCCACGAAAGGCTGAAAATCAAACTGGAAGGGTACGGAATTCGGGGAAATGTCCTAGCGTGGATAGAAGACTTTCTACATGACCGCAAGCAATGTGTGGTGATTAATGGCACGAAATCGTCATCTGTACCTGTAACAAGTGGGGTACCGCAGGGTAGTGTATTGGGCCCGCTGTTGTTTGTTTGTTTCATAAATGATATGCCTGACGTTGTACACTCCTCCATACAAATGTTTGCCGATGATGGCAAGTTATTTCGGGAAATTAAGAACCAAGCGGACTGTGAAGAGCTGCAGAAGGACCTCTGTGGGCTCCAGGAATGGTCGAAGGAATGGCTGCTGAGATTCAATGTCACGAAGTGTAAGAGGATGCACCTGGGGCGTACCAACGGTAAGGAGGCGTACCATATGTCCCAACGGGATGAAGAAAATGTACTAGTTGAGACTGTGTGTGAGAAGGACCTAGGTGTGTATGTTGACAATGAGCTGAAGTTCTCGGGCCATTGTGAGAAGAAGGTAAATCAGGCAAATAAATTATTGGGTCTTATAAGAAGGTCGTTCAGATATCTAGACGGTCCGTCCCTCGTGACGATCTTCAGGAGTGAAGTGCTTCCCCATCTGGAGTACTGTCACCCCATCTGGTCCCCGAGATATGCTAGGGACTGTCAGTTGGTTGAAAATGTTCAAAGGAGGGCCACCAAACTGGTGCCTGCACTTCGGCACCTCAGCTACCCTGAGAGATTGGAGCGCCTGAACTTGCCTAGCTTATACTACAGACGGGCAAGGGGGGACCTAGTTGAGGTTTATAAGCATCTCAGGGGGCACTACTCAGTTGAGTGTCCTTACTTGGAGCTGGCGGACGCTCGCCCCACAAGGGGTCACAGCTCAAGATTGAAGAAGCCGCAAGTCCAGAAAACCGTGAGGGCAAACTTTTTCGGAGTGAGGGTTGTAAACTCTTGGAACAATCTACCAGAGAGTGTTGTGACGGCACCGAGTGTGAGCTCTTTCAAGAGAAGACTTGACCAACACTGGAGCGGGTTCAGGTACATTCAGGAGCCGGTGCATGCCCAGTATTTGCCAACAGTGCGTGACAGAGACGTGACCGATCGCCCGGGCGGCTAGCGAGCCGACCTTTTGGTGAAGAATATAAAGGAAAAGAGACGTGACCGATCGCCCAAGCGGCTAACAAGCCGATCAGTGGCGAAGAGGATAAAAATAAAAGTAAAAAAAAAGAAAGAGGCTGGGTTTTCACCCACTGAAATTGCACGAGAATTGGGTTTTTCTCGGTCAACTGTATATTATTGGATTAAGTGATGGGAAGAGGAGGGAAGTTTAAAGGACCACCACAGGAAGGGAATGCCGCGCATAACAATACTTGCACAAGTTGAAGCCATCTGGAATTTTGCTGAGGCCAACCCCTTCAAGACTTCATTTTCAATAAGAAAGGATCTACAATTAAATATTTCCCCTTTAACAATCAGGCGAAGACTTCATGAAGGAGGCATTCACCATAGAACTCCCGCCACCAGATGTTTAGTCTGGTGTCCTTAAAAAAAAATATTAAATTTTTTCCAAAAATGTGTATGGTGTATTATAAATTTGTATCTTATTTACATATGCATAATAAATATAAATATAAATATAACGCTGACGTTAGGTTAGGTTAGGTTAGGTTAGGTGCCTTCAAAAGCTGGATCGGACCAACACACGTAACTCATAAACAATTAAGTTATTTACCGTTGAATTCTACAATATGACTACACACAGTCTCGCATATAAATCACTATATAATACTTGGTGTTCTCAAAAGTCGAGTAAGGTTAACACAGTATACCACTAGAAATATACAATAGGAGAGGAGATACCTCTCTTACAACTGCCAGCCCAATACTGCCGTCACCCTGCTTGGGAGTTAAACAGAGGAGCAGGGGTGGACAGAAATGACATCATAACAAAAGACGTTCAAGTTGCGAAACCACAAATAGCTATCATACGCTCACTCATTCATTAGTATTCAAGACTAAAACAATAAACATTACTTTGTTTTATCTAACACATTGAAACTAATGTTACTACATTTTAAGTAACATATAATATCTAAATTTCAGCTGCTTCAGTGTGTACAAAACGAATCAGTCGAAGTTCATATGCCGACCAGTAATCTATTCATTGGTTCTTATTCCGACACTCGTAACATCTCCCCCCTTAATTTAAAAGTTTAAGAAGCTCTGAATAAACTTTTTCTCAACACAAGATAGAGTGTCGGCAATATTATTATTACAGCCCTTTATGTGACTGATTTCTATATCATAGGGTTGAAGAGCTAATGACCACCGTAACAGTCTTTGATTCTTATTTCTCATATTATGAACAAACTGAAGTGGATTATGATCTGTATAAACTATCACTGGGTAAGGTGATCCACTTACATACACCTAAAATTTTCCCAGAGCTAACAAAAGGACCAATGCTTTTTTTTTCTAATTTGACATATCCACGTTGATGCTTTTTCAGTTTAACCGAGAAATAACAGTTTGGGTGCAATATTCCATCTTTTCCTTTTTGCATTCGCACAGCACCAACTCCTGTGTCACATGCATCTCATTGTATCACAAACTGTTTCTTAAAGTCTGGGAGTTGCAGTACAGGTGCCGTCGCCAACAACCCACGAACCTTTTCGAATGCTGTCTGGCATTCATCAGTCCACACAAACTTTCTTTTTGGGCTGACCAAATCTGTCATGGGAGTGACCACCCTGGCAAAATTTTTACAAAACCTCCTGTAGAATCCAACCATCCCGAGAAATCTTCTGAGAGCCTTTCGATTGTGAGGTGCAGGTAGATTGAGAATATCGGCAACCTTGGCATCAATTGGAGCAATTTTCCCTTGTCCAATGACATGACCAAGGAAGATTAAGGTGGCATGTCCGTATTCACTCTTGGGTAGGTTTACGGTGAAGTTGAACTCTTCTAGACAGTTGAAGAGTTCACGGAGTCGGCCAATGTGTTGTACCCATGTGTCACCGACGACGACCAGATCATCTAGATAGGCGTACACTCCAGGCAGGCCTGATGTCACTATATGCATCGCTCCCTGAAATGTTGCTGGTGCTCCTTTGAGGTCAAAGGGCATAACTTTGTATTGCCACAGCCCTTCTAGTGACAAAAGCTGAAATCTGCTTTGCTTCTTCCGAGAGTTTGATTTGGTAGTAGCCTTTGAGAAGATCCAGCTTGGTGACAAATGATGCTCGACCCACACTGTCGATGATGTCGTCGATGCGTAGCAATGGATATGCATCAGCACGTGTCACTAGGTTGACCTTCCTGTAGTCAGTACACATGTGGACACTTCCGTCGGGTTTAGGCACCAGCACACAGGGTGATGCCCATGCACTACTGCTCCTCTCCACTAGGTCATGTTCCTGCAGATACTCTACCTCCTGGTTCATCTTCTTCCGCTTATCAGGGCTCATTCGGTAGGGTGCTTCCTTGATGGGAGATGTGCCAGGCAGCAGTACTAGTTCGTGCTCCAGCAGAGAACACTGGCGTGGCACATCGTTGAAGAGTGGCTTCAACTCCTGTAGCAGTTGCACCATATCCTGAGACTGCATGGTTGGGTTCAGAAGCTTTTGTGAAAATGGGTAAGACACGACGTCAATGCCATAGTCACCCCTAACAACATAATCACCAAGAAACAGGAAGTTTGCAGGTGTAAGTCCTGGACCCTCTCTCCAGAGGACTTTTTCAAAGCAAATTAAGTCTCGGTAATTTCCATGAAGGTCACCTAGAGTATAACATGGTGAAGCCAGCCTTAAAAGACGAGCCTCATTCTCAAATAAATCCTTCACAGAAGAGCAGAGGGAGCTGATAAAGTGTGCCAGTTTTGTCATATCCACCTCTCCCCAATGTAAAGGTGCTTTGTCATTTCTTTCATGTTCAAAGTAGCGAAGTGCAGTAAACATTTCATTTTGCAAAGAATTCCGGATAAAGGCTTCTACAGACTCGAATGCGTCACACACTCGATGGCGTACGCCATCAGCACGAAATCCAGTATCACACACTTCACCATCACGTTCCATATCATGTAAGAGGCGAATGTTTGAGATCTGGCCTGACCTTCGAGCTTTGACTGTGCGGTGGACAAGTGTGTACGTGTTGGAAGCAGAAGTCACCAATGCTCTAGCACTTAATGGTATGGATCCTGCAACATCTTGGGAATCATTTCCAATGTTGGAAACTGGAGCATTTTCAGAAACACCAACACTGAACAAGTCGTTCTTATGATCCATGATGTGATTCTTCTTTAACTTCTTGTTTTGTAATCCAGCTGAAGCTGGGCATTCCAATCCAGAAGAGACAAGACTTCTGACTGGGCTTTGGAGTCTTTTATCCTGGATGACCCATCTTTCTGCATTAAATATAGGATGATGGAGTTCCTAGCACGGAATAGTTGCGAAGTACCACGAAAACGCAAACTACCCACAGCTATGAGGAAACTTTTTAGTCACCCGAGTTGTCCCTGCTTCACAAAGTTTTTTATAAGCTTTCTTTGCATTTACTTCAATGATGTCCTCAGTGACTGCATGTCCATGTACTGTTGCAATTTCTTGGACCATTGCCTTCACTCTCTCCATCTCCATAATATCATTTTTTGCATAATATCTGAATATGTACCGACACCTCAGTTTTCCCGATTTTCCTCCATGACGCATCACTTGATCCATAGTAACTACTGGTCTCCTCTGCCTCACAGGGAATCTGTTTGCAGGCTGATCTTCCACAGTTCTGCAATCATTTTCATTTTCTGTTTCATCTGAACCTGAGTCCGAGGAAGAATCATAAGGTGGAAATAGGGGCACATTCAGCTGAACAAGCATGACTCTACTTATAATTTTTTCTATTTTCTCAGCTGCTCTCTTTATCACCGCACTTTCATATTTTTGGGTTGGCCTTCCTCAGAGGAACAACGATGATTTTGGTTACACTGCTCAACAACAGACGTCTTACATTAATTGCGTGTCACCCACATACTTATAATAATCAGTGACCTCATTACCTCGGTCATCCCTTCTTACAATAACACTCAACACATCAGACTGCTCTACCTGTTACATTACAAAAAGAATTGGCCTTCATCAGAAGAACAACTATTATTTTCATGACACTTCTCTTGAGCAGATGGGGTACTTCCCAGGTAATCATAATGTATCGGTGCCACGCCTGGTATTAGGAAGTCGCTCCCCGTAGCGACCGCGAAACTTCTCTAGTATATAGTGATTTTCTCCTATCCTAGGTGGTGATATGTAGGGTATCTACAGATCCACAGTGGAGGTGCATGACCACTGTGGTGTGGCCTTCACAGTGTGGTCATGGCTGACGCCCGGTAGGCACTCAGAACGCGTCGTCTTCTGGAATGTAAAAACTTTTAGGATTTCCCTCACTTCATGGTTGCCTCGCAGAAGGAAGAATGTGGTTGGGTTCAGAAGCTTTTGTGAAAATGGGTAAGACACGACCTCAATGCCATAGTCACCCCTATCAACATAATCACCAAGAAACATGAAGTTTGCAGGTGTAAGTCCTGGACCCTCTCTCCAGAGGACTTTTTCAAAGCAAATTAAGTCTCGGTAATTTCCATGAAGGTCACCTACAATATAACATGGTGAAGCCAGCTTTAAAAGACAGCCTCATTCTCAAGTAAATCCTTCACAGAAGAGCAGAGGGAGCTGATAAAGTGTGCCAGTTTTGTCATATCCACCTCTCCCCAATGTAAAGGTGCTTTGTCATTTCTTTCATGTTCAAAGTAGCGAAGTGCAGTAAACATTTCATTTGGCAAAGAATTCCGGATAAAGGCTTCTACAGACTCGAATACGTCACACACTCGATGGCGTACGCCATCAGCACGAAATCCAGTATCACACACTTTACCATCACGTTCCATATCAGTAAGAGGCGAATGTCTGTGATCTGGCCTGACCTTCGAGCTTTGACTGTGCGGTGGGCAAGTGTGTACGTGTTGGAAGCAGGAGTCACCAATGCTCTAGCACTTAATGGTATGGATCCTGCAACATCTTGGAAATCATTTCCAATGTTGGAAACTGGAGCATTTTCAGAAACACCAACACTGAACAAGTCGTTCTTATGATCCATGATGTGATTCTTCTTTAACTTCTTGTTTTGTAATCCAGCTGAAGCTGGGCATTCCAATCCAGAAGAGACAAGACTTCTGACTGGGCTTTGGAGTCTTTTATTCTTGGATGACCCATCTTTCTGCATTAAATAGAGGATGATGGAGTTCCTAGCATGGAATACTTGAGAAGTACCACGAAAACGCAAACTACCCACAGCTATGAGGAAACTTTTTAGTCACCCGAGTTGTCCCTGCTTCACAAAGTTTTTTATAAGCTTTCTTTGCATTTACTTCAATGATGTCCTCAGTGACTGCATGTCCATGTACTTTTGCAATTTCTTGGACCATTGCCTTTACTCTCTCCATCTCCATAATATCATTTTTTGCATAATACCTGAAAATGTACCGACACCTCAGTTTTCCCGATTTTCCTCCATGACGCATCACTTGATCCATAGTAACTACTGGTCTCCTCTGCCTCACAGGGAATCTGTTTGCAGGCTGATCTTCCACAGTTCTGCAATCATTTTCATTTTCTGTTTCATCTGAACCTGAGTCCGAGGAAGAATCATAAGGTGGAAATAGGGGCACATTCAGCTGAACAAGCATGACTCTACTTATAATTTTTTCTATTTTCTCAGTTGCTCTCTTTATCACCGCACTTTCATATTTTTGGGTTGGCCTTCCTCAGAGGAACAACGATGATTTTGGTTACACTGCTCAACAACAGACGTCTTACATTAATTGCGTGTCACCCACATACTTATAATAATCAGTGACCTCATTACCTCGGTCATCCCTTCTTACAATAACACTCAACACATCAGACTGCTCTACCTGTTACATTACAAAAAGAATTGGCCTTCATCAGAAGAACAACTATTATTTTCATGACACTTCTCTTGAGCAGATGGGGTACTTCCCAGGTAATCATAATAGTATCGGTGCCACGCCTGGTATTAGGAAGTCGCTCCCCGTAGCGACCGCGAAACTTCTCTAGTATATAGTGATTTTCTCCTATCCTAGGTGGTGATATGTAGGGTATCTACAGATCCACAGTGGAGGTGCATGACCACTGTGGTGTGGCCTTCACAGTGTGGTCATGGCTGACGCCCGGTAGGCACTCAGAACGCGTCGTCTTCTGGAATGTAAAAGCTTTTAGGATTTCCCTCACTTCATGGTTGCCTCGCAGAAGGAAGAATGTGGTTGGGTTCAGAAGCTTTTGTGAAAATGGGTAAGACACGACCTCAATGCCATAGTCACCCCTATCAACATAATCACCAAGAAACAGAAGTTTGCAGGTGTAAGTCCTGGACCCTCTCTCCAGAGGACTTTTTCAAAGCAAATTAAGTCTCGGTAATTTCCATGAAGGTCACCTACAATATAACATGGTGAAGCCAGCCTTAAAAGACGAGCTGATTCCAGTTTTGTCATTCCACCAATGTAAAGGTGCTTTGTCATTTCTTTCATGTTCAAAGTAGCGAAGTGCAGTAAACATTTCATTTGGCAAAGAATTCCGGATAAAGGCTTCTACAGACTCGAATGCGTCACACACTCGATGGCGTACGCCATCAGCACGAAATCCAGTATCACACACTTCACCATCACGTTCCATATCAGTAAGAGGCGAATGTCTGTGATCTGGCCTGACCTTCGAGCTTTGACTGTGCGGTGGGCAAGTGTGTACGTGTTGGAAGCAGGAGTCACCAATGCTCTAGCACTTAATGGTATGGATCCTGCAACATCTTGGAAATCATTTCCAATGTTGGAAACTGGAGCATTTTCAGAAACACCAACACTGAACAAGTCGTTCTTATGATCCATGATGTGATTCTTCTTTAACTTCTTGTTTTGTAATCCAGCTGAAGCTGGGCATTCCAATCCAGAAGAGACAAGACTTCTGACTGGGCTTTGGAGTCTTTTATTCTTGGATGACCCATCTTTCTGCATTAAATAGAGGA